TTTTTTTTTTTTTTTTTTTTTTTTTTTTTTTGTACCTGGGATCAAACTCGGGTCCTTGTGCTTGGAGGCAGGCAGAGGCACCACTGAGCTAAATCCCCGGCCCCACTCATCAACTTTTTTAAAAAGAACATAAACTCAAACTTACACTGTTCACTTCTGATGCGGTTCCAAGTGTAAGCAAATACTGAGGGACGAGCTGTATTTATTATTAGCACGTAAGTGTATTAGAACTGTAAAGTTGCAGCCATGGACGTAAAGTGCGGTATGGCGCGTGTGTGTGATTAGGCTGGGTCCAGACCTGGCTCAACCTCAGTGATCCTCGGTGTCTGGGCTTCAGGGGATGTTCAGACACCGCTTAGCATGGCCCTGCTTCTGCGGCTCTCCAGAGCACCTCGCTCTGGCGTCCGCCCTGCCACATTGGTGCTTTTCCATCTGTCCCCGTTTTTACATGGGCGTTTCTCTTGGTTTCCATCCTGTCTAGAGCACACCATGGCCACCCCCCTGGAGGATGTTGGCAAGCAGGTGGGTGTGTCCTGTCTGCTGCCCTTGGCCCCAGAGGGTCTCTCCAGAGCCTCCTGACACCTCTCTCCTCGCCCCTCCAGGTGTGGCAGGGTGCCCTGCTCCTGGCAGACTATATCCTGTTCCGGCGGGACCTCTTCCAGGGACGAACTGTGCTAGAGCTCGGGGCGGGCACAGGGCTCGCCAGCATCGTGGCAGCCACCATGGCGCGGACCGTGTATTGTACAGGTAACGAGGCGATGGCCCAGGCTGCAGGGAGGGGCTTCACAGAGGGTCCGGCCTGTAGAATGTGAGGCAGGGGCACCTGGATTGGACACGGTGCTGTTGATTTCCCGGCCTGCTCCCCTGGTTCTCCCATGCAGTCTTCTTTCTTGATAATGTCGCAGGGGTCACGCTGTTGCCAGCCTCAGACCACTGAGCATCAGAAGGGTCCAGTGCCCCGTCTCCACTCACCCCAAGAAAGAGCAAGCATCCCAGGAAACCGATGAGAAGGTTCCCTTTCCTAAGCTCTCCGGAGCGAGTTTATCATTTCTTCCTGGTTACAGAAATTTTGCCTGTTCTTTGAGACGTTTATAAAAAAGCAAATAAAAATTACTTGTAATTGTACAATCCCCAGATTTATTCATCAGTATGCCATTTGTTCAGCACCTGCTGTGTGCCCAAGACACCTCCAGGTGTGGAGAATCCAAGCCACTGGCCCCCGGTTACTACGTTTTATTAGACTCTGTTTTAACTCTTTTTATAAACATTATAATCGTCTTCCTCTGCACCTGCATCATCTCAAAGAGTAGCCGAAATAAAACTACACGCGGTGCAAAGTGTTGAAAGACATCTTTTCCAAGAGCATTTTCCCATGTTGTTAAAAATTGCCTGGCCCATCAGCATGTGCTACCCAAGCCCTCTGTCAATGAATTTCACTCCCAGCCCCTGGATCCTTTTGGGTTTTTAACCTTTCTGTTGCCAAGCGTCATGTGCACCGATCAGAACCAACAACTGACCCGGGGAGGTGCTGTTAATGGAACGGAGGGTGTGTACCAGTCTGAGAGAGCAGTAGTCTCCTCGGATGAACATTGTGACGATATTTTAAATCTCCCATCGGTTAGGCAAAGAGGTGTCTGCTGATGTGGATTGTGTTTTGTCGTTTGCTAGTGACCATATCATGGTGCTGACCTTGCTTCTGAGATAGGAGGGAGGAAACTGGGCGTCCTGTTGCTGGAACTGAGGTGACCACTAGCCTGGAAGCCACATTTAGGTGACACTTCTTGACTCTCCTTAGCCAAATTGTGCAGGTTACCAGTGAGCTCTTCTCAGAGTCAGGCCACGAAGGAACAGCCCAGAGCTTTGCTCGGTGCGTGGTACATAACAGCAGGGCACAGCTGTCTTAGCTCCTTGGGAGGGAGATTTGCCAGCGTAGGGAAGTCGCATTTAGATGCTAGTGGTACACTGCAGTAGCACAGCCCTCTCCCAGGCATCGGCACCATGTTGTGACTTCACATGTGACTGGACGGTGGCCAGAGAGCCTTTTACCACCCCTTCGTACAGAGGGACAGACAGAGGCTAAGGTTCAGCGGCTGCTCTCCGTTCCTGCTTGAGCACTGTGAGATGTGAGACCCTTGGCTTGATCTAGTTGCGCACAGTGCAGTTTTTTGGTTACGTGGATACTTTTTGGGGCCATCCCATGCTGCAGTGTTCTGTGAGCTCTCTCAGCAAAGGGATACATAGGGCTTCTTCACGGCTCCGGGTCTCCTACCTCGGCCATGGCTACTTCTCTCACCGTAAGAGTTCTTGTAACAAAAACTACCATACAGATTTTAAAATAGGGAGGCTGGGAGTGGTTCTCCCAGCTTAGCATCCTTAGCAGGGTTGGATCCCAGCACCCAACTTTAAAAAAACAAGATTTCAAAACTTAAACTTGTCATACAACATCCTCTGTACCTGATCCCGGGCTCTTCATGACCCCTGGGTACTGTATTAGTCAGGATTCCTGTTCCTGGGACAAAATAACTGACACCCACCACATAGAGGAGGAGGAGTTTCATTTGGCTCGTGAGTCTGGGATCTCAGTCTCTGGTTGCCTGGTTCTAAGGTCATGGTAGAAGGACATGGCAGAGCAAAAGCTGCTCACCTCATGGCAGCCAGGAAGCAGAGAAAGGAGCTGGGAGGGAGGCATGTCCTCCAGAGGCTCGCCCTCAGTGACACCTCTTCCAACCAGGCCCCCTCTGAATAGCAGTCAGCTGAGTGCTCCCAGTGGATTAACCCACTGGTGAGTATCGTGCCCCCATGGCCCAAGCACCTTCCCAAAGCCCCCGCCTCTGAACACCGGAGACTTTGGGGGGACCTTCTAGGTCTAGACCATAACACATACACACTGTCTAGACCCCAGGGAGTATGCACCGACCTGGGTGGAGGTGACTGCGCCCGTAATAGACCAAGCAGACGTCCACAAGACATCCTGTACCTTCTCGGGTACCTTCCCCTAAGAGGAAGTTCCCTCTTAGCAAAGCACGAAAATCTCCTGTACTACCAATCAGCTCTAAGGAAAGGATGAGAAATCTCACCTCGTGTGAGTAGCCAGAGATACTGGTGGTAGCAGACAGTGAATCGCCAGCAGAGAGAATTACCTGGTCTGTTTGAGTCTGCTCTACCTCTCAGTGCTATTGGACACCCTTCTCTAGTCCTTGCTCTGGGGAATCAGCAAGGAACCTAAATTTAGAGCCAGAGATCCTCGATTCAGATCGCAGGTCTTGCTCTCATTGGTCGTGGGACTTGCTCAAAGGCTCGGCCTGTGAAATGGGAATCCCGATACCGGCTCCCAAGGTGTCTGCACAATGCATCTTTTCACATATGTACTTGAGAGATGTTGGTTCTCTTTCTTGTGCCTTCTAGAATGCAGTCTGTCCCCACCAGGATGAGAATCTCACATTTTGTGGGGACGGAATCACTGAAAAGAGGCTGCAGTGCATGGACTTATTTTGGGCACTAGAACTCATAAAGAGAGGCAGGGCCCTGGTCTCTGCAGTCAGGCTGGTGGTAGCAGCTCTCCGGGCAGGACCGTGGAGACAGAAGTATACTAACAGCCGGCACGTCCTGGCGTGCCCTGTCGTTCCAGATGTCGGCGCAGACCTCCTGGCCATGTGTCAGCGAAACGTTGCCCTCAACAGCCACCTGGCTGCCGCTGGAGGTGAGGCCCAGCAGCAAGAGAGGTTTCTGTTTGGCAGGCAGGAGAAACAACCAAGATGGTGACTTTGGCTGGTGGGATCCCACCTGCTTCCCTTTGCACCAGGTGAATGGAGGAAGCAGGTGTTGTCCTGGCTTCACATCGCTTCCCAAGTGACCTGCGCTTGGGTCACCTCCCTGCTCCCACCACCACATCCCCCATCAGCTCCCTCTGGCCTGGAGGTTGGCAGTGTCGCCCCGCTCCCCAGCTGGTCTTCCCGGCTCCTCATGTGCTCTGTCTTCCATGCATCATCCAGAGGTCTTTCTGAGATGCAGGCCTCCACTCCGCTCGGAAAACCTGCCAGGGACCAGTGCCCATGGGATGTATACAGGCTCTTCCCTCCCTTGCCACACCTCCTCGGCCCGACTGCTGCCTGCCTCCCTGCCTCTTCTCCTGACAGTGGGCCAGGGATTCATGTCAGGCTCTGCCTCTCTCCGGTGTCTGCACCCCATCTGCCTGACCGCCCAGTCTCTGTACAGCTAGCTCATGGGAATGGGTTTATATGGTCAGTGATAGTGGAGACCCCCTGCCTGGACTGCCCTGTGGACCTCCTCCAAGCAGGGAATCAGACCTGCGGGATTCAGGCCCCCAAGTGGTTTCCTGTTGCCGTCGGCATTGGGACCAAGCTCCTGGCTGGCCTATTGTCCACATGTCCTGGTTGTCCCCTGTGCTTCCCTCTCCACTCACAGCCTTGCTAACCCCCCGCACCTCCAGCACCTTCAGCCTTCTCTCGGGGCCCCTTCCTGAGGTCTCTGCACTTCTCCTCCATCTGGCGCTCTTCCCTCCCAGAGCTCCTCCCAGGTCTCCAGCAGATGCTAATGACATTGCTTTTTAACATCCGTGCACTCGGCCGGCAAACTGGTGTGTGCCCTCCCCACTCCTGCAATACCGCTGAGTGCACAGTGTGCAGGAGGTGTTGGTGAAGATGGGAGGTGCAGCCGTGAGCTATGCAAGGCCCCTCTACAGCCCCGGACCTGGCTCAGTCTTTTCTCCTGCAGCATTGGCACCTCCCGTCAGCATCACCCCAACCGTGCAGTCTTGTAGCATCTGTTATCTGCCCATCTCCCCTTCTGTGGCAGAAACGAGGACTCCGATATTTATGTTCCCTGTGTCCGGCGCAGACACTGACACCCAACACTCCCAGCAGGCAGGGAGGGAGGACGTGAGGGTGGACAGACGGGGTAATGGTGAGCGCGAGGGGCGGAGGCGTGGACCTTGGCATGTAGCTTGCTTAAAGGTTTATTTTCTGAGTTATGTGGAGAGGTTAGGAGTTCTGTTCATTTTCGTTTTTGCAGGTGGCGTGGTGAAGGTCAGGGAGCTGGACTGGCTAAAGGACAAGCTCTGCACCGGTGTGTTCCTCCTTTCATCCCCTTTATAGCGGCTTCTCTGTGATATCCCCGGGTCTCAGCTGTGTGGCTTTGATTAAGCTGCAGATCCCTGGCTGCCACCACCGTGCCACCAAGCCCCTGGCAGGCTCCCTCCCGAGGCCAGTGACAGCTGGTCTTCTCCGTGCACTGGCCACGCGCCAGCGCCTTGTGTCCATGGTGCTGTTCAGATCGCGGGGTCCCTGTGGGCTTGATACACCCTGGATGGGGTGTGGATTCAGAGCCCATGCATTGATGGCAGCCAGAGGCCACACAGCTGGTCCTTGGCAGGGTCAGGGCATGACCTCGGGCACAGAGGGTGATGCCGGGAGGCTCCTGGGGTAGAAAGGGCTCCTAAATCTCTTCTGCAACCTGTTTCACACCTGAGTGCTTGCTCTTCAGAGAGAGGCTGTCCTTCTCCCTGCCAGAGGCGGGTGGAGAAAACATGGCTTGAATGCCTGTCACCTGCCACGCACTTCAAGTACTCCGGGTCTCTCACCTTCCCAGCAGTCCTGTGAGGGAAGTACTATCAGGCCCTTTTTTGTTTTGTTTGTTGGTGGCATTGTTTTTTGAGACAGGGTCTTGCTTAGTCCAGGCTGGCCTTAAACTCACTTTGTAACCCAGGCTGGTCTTAAATTCAGGGCAGTCATCCTGTCTCAGCCTGCCAGGTGCTGGGGTTACAGGCGTGTGCCACCGCGCCTGTTTTTTTTTTGTTGTTGTTTCTTGGTTTTAGGTTTGTTTTGGTTTTTTTTAATGATGCTGAGGATGGAACCTAGGGCCTCTTGTATGCTAGGTGAGCACTCCACTATTGAGGAACACCTCAAGCCCTTAGCATAAAAACTGAAACCCAGAGAGGTATACCAAGTGTTTGGGGGTCACACAGCAAGTAAATGGGGACAGGAGAGATTTGAACAGCATGTACTCATGTACTCATGTGGCTGCTGACCAGGGCAGTGGGTAAGGCTGGAATCTTCCTGGCAAGTGGGGCAGTCCTTACACCGTGGCTGTTCCCATTGTCAGCTGTGACCCTGACGCCAGCAGCCTGCCTAGCAGAAGCTGCCTCCAACCCTCTCGGTCCTGAAATTTCCTTGAGTCAGTCTCCAGGAGAGCTGGTGGCCAGCAGAGAAAGGACTGAGCCGCAGCGTCCTTTCTTCTGCAGATCCTGAGGTCCCCTTCAGCTGGACGGAAGAGGACATCTCTGACCTGTATGACCACACCACTGTGCTGTTCGCTGCGGAAGGTGAGGAAGGCTCCAGGGTCACGTGCGTGCGGTTCAGGGTCCCCTGCACTCCCCTGGGCCTCTGCTGCCTGGAATCGCCCTTCCAGAACAGCCTACCTCAGCCACCACCATTTGTGAGGCCGCGGGGCCGGGATCCTCTCCGGGTCAGAGGACAGAGGGCGTTCAGCAGATGGCTCTGAAGTGGGCGTGTTCTCTCCCGCAGTGTTCTATGACGACGCCCTGACCGACGCCCTGTTCTGCACACTGTGCCGGCTCACCGGCCGGCTGAAGAACGCCTGCACCGCCCTGCTGTCAGTGGAGAAGAGGTGAGCCACGCCGGCCTGCGCAGGCTGCTCGCCCCCTTGGCTGCCGCCTCTTCATCCACGCTGCGCGCTGCAGGCCCCAACCGCCCACTCCCAGAGGAAGCCGTGAGGGGCCGGGGTGAGGGACCTGATAGCTGCACGGCCACCTGCGGCCATCTAAAGGCCGAGGCCATTTTGGGCCACTGTTAGCATCCTCCGCATTTAGTTTTCCTACAGAAAAAAAATCAACTTTTCTGTGTTCCTTTTCTTTCACAAAACCTACAAATGAAACTGAAAGGCTAGTAACAAAAGTAGGAACTGAGAGCATCTCTGGAGGAGCGATTTCCTGTGAGCTAACCCTGCCCGTCTTGGTAAGGTCGCATGCTGAGTCTTCACTCCACCTCTTCTGTGCTAGACTTGTGTTCAGAGCTAAACATTCTCATCTGTCCACTGTGGCAGGGTTTGTACCGGTGATGCTAAAGACTTCATAGCCACAAGGGGTCCTGATTTTACAGACCACAAAGGGCAAATCCAGGACCCTTAGCAAAAGCTGAACAATACATAGGTGATGTTAAAAACTTACTGAGGGGGCCGGGGATTTAGCTGAGTGGTCCTACCACCTGCCTTGCTAAGCACAAGGGCCTGAGTTCAATCCCCGGTACCAAAAAAAAAAAAAATTTACTATTAAATATGTCTTGGGTGAAGAGTCTGCCTCTTCAAGATGCGCACTGATGTACTCACAGGAGAACACTGTGATGTCTGACACGGCACGCTCACGAGGACCTGGGGAGAGCAGGGGGACAGTGGCTGACGCCAGGTGACGAGTTCATGGCAGTTTACTGTTGCTGCTGCTTGTGCGTGTTCAAATTTTTTCATAATAAAAGAATGGTGAAGGGAAAGGGAAAGAGGTGAGGAGCTTGAATTTCAAGTGGAATCACCTTGTAGATTCTGGTGTTGAAAGACTCAGCTCTGAGGTCCACTCCCTTCTGCCTCTCACTGTCATCTCCACAGCCCAGCAGCTCCCTGGCAGTGTGACCTCTGTGTGCTGTACTCTTAGCCGGCTCTGCACCTCTGCGTCCACTGCTCATCCCACACACGGTTCTGGGACAGCTCCATGGAGGTTCTGTGCCGGTGGAGCAGCCCACAGGAGCACAGAGAGGCCTGTGCCAGTCTGCCCTCGTGCCCGTTGGTGGCACTGCAGAGGCATGCACTGTGTTTATCTTTGTGTGGCCATAACCAGCTTTCAGAGCCTCAGCTTCCCCATCTAGAAAGTGGGTGTAACCCCTTGCACCTCCCACACTGCTGTACAGATTCAGGAAGTATTCGGCTGGGATGCTTAGCCAGTGTGTAATAGGGCAGAGTCAAAGTCCACGCGCAGGAAACGAGATCGGGGAGGAACCGGTGGCGGGCTGTGAGGAAACCAGCACCGCCCAGGAGTGACAGCAGTTTGTGTGTCTGCTGCTTGTCCACAGGTTCAACTTCACACTGAGACACCTGGACGTCACATGCGAAGTCTATGATCACTTCCGCTCCTCCCTGCTTGCCCTGGAGAAGCTCTCGGACGGCAGGCTGCACTTTGTGGTGGAGCCGGTGGAGGCGTCCTTCCCGCAGCTGCTCACTTACGAGCGCATCCGGCAGCTGGTAGGTCCTCCTGGCGGGGTTCCGTGGGTTGCTCTGGCAGGAGGCTGCTGCCTCTGGGTAGAGTAGGTGATGAGCCAAGGGCGCCACACTCAGGCCATGCCCTCAGCCCTGCAGGTGGCAGAGACCACAGACCTGCGACCGTCTGTGGCAAAGCTGGTGGGGGACCTTGCCCAGTGTCGGTAGTGACCGTGTCCAGCGGGCCTGTGGGCACACCCTAAACACCGACTCTTCAGACTTTTCCTGCGGGTAGTTCAGGCATCAGAGGAAACGGGAGAGCGGCAGGTTCCAGAGGGGAGCTGCAGTGGCCCACAGGACCTACAGCGGGGCTCCTGTAGGGGGCCTGCGGTCCCACCTGCACTGTGGAAACCCCTGGAAGGCTTGTGTCATCGCGCTCGCCCTGGTGATCCTGCCGCAGTGGGACCCCCATACCGGGCTGCTGCGTAGTCCCCCCTAGGAGGGCGGCTGCCACGCGCCAGGCACCAGGCTGAGCGGGCACCTTTTGCCCTCTGTCTTGCTCAGTGCTCATGGCGACAGCTGACCTGTCTTCCCGCCAGGAAGTGGCAGGGTGCAGTTCATCCTACAACCACGTCACTTCCTATTATAACTTTTGAGCCAGCACTTAGGAAATATTTGAAAAGTCAGAATTAGCCTCAAAATCACCATGAGCTAGATTCACAGGAGTCCAAGGAGACAGAGTTAGCTTCTTTTGTTCTCTCTTTTCTTAGCCCTTTCTCTAGATCCACGGGGGCTAAGAGCCCCACGGAATGGAGAAATAGTGACGCCTTGCTGCCTTTCCCCTAGCAGCCCCTTCAATTGTGTGATGTCCCATCACTCCCTTCGGCTAACGCTAGACTCTGTCCATGTAGCCTCTGTCACTGTGAAACAGAAGCAACAGCCCAGAGCCTCAGTGCATTCAGGAAACCACTGCTACACTAACTCTGCTGCCCTGGTTAGCCAGTCCTCTGAGTCCTCCCTTTGGCTAGTTGGTCCCTCTTCTGGAACTGTGAGGATCCCTGCGCACCTCAGAAGCCTGTCCTTCCTCTGTTGCAGGAGCTCTGGAAGATCACTGCAGAACCAACAACGTGACCCGCTGCCTTCACAACGCCGGTGGCCTCTTGACTTCACAGAATATATTTCTAATAAAGTCGGAAGTTCGGCAAAATCTTGCACTTCAGACACTGTCATTTCAGAAGCATGGTAAGTGTTTGCCTTCCATGACCTAAGATGGTTTTCTGGAGCCTGTCCTTGCCTCCCAGCAGCAGCCAGAGAGCGCTTCTGCTCTGGACTGGGAGCCCACTTAGTGGCCTGTGTGCCCCACGCCTCTAACTTGGTGCCCAGTATGCTTCAGGCACGGTTCGGTCAAGCTGAGCGAGTGCTCCCAGCTTGATTCCACTGCAGCCGGCTGTTTCTGCGCAGACTCCCCTGGGGCCGGGACTGTGCAGTCTGCACACGCCCTCCACTGTTTACGGGTGTCTTTCATGCTCGCCACAACTGCTGTCATAACCACTTGGCACAAACGTCTCATTTCCTCCCTCCAGTGAGGGCCCTGTGCCCAAGAGTGGACTGAACTAGCAAGTGGCTTCTTTTAAATTTTCAATTCTAACCCTTTATAACTAAAATCAGGTGTGCTTAGGCCAAACAGAAGAGCCGAGAGGCCCAGGTCCATTTCCCTAGTTGTTATCTTATCCTCATGTCTGGGGCCAAACATTTGCAAGACTTAAGCTCATTTTATCCTTCCAGCAAATCTAGGAGGTCAGCAGTGCGGCTTTTATGATTGAGAAAATTAAGGCTCCAAAAGAAAAAAATCTCCTTGGGATCAGGGACCTGGTTTGCCTGAAGCATCACCATATAACTGGCGTATCATCCGGCACGCAGTAGGCACACATTACTCATCTAAATTATCAACTAGAACAGCGTTTCTTAATCGTGGGTGATTTTGTCTCCTGGGGCACCAGACAATGTCTGGAGACATTTTTGGTTGTAGGAGAGGCAGAAGTGCTCCTGGTGCCCAGTAGGTGAGGACGGGTTGCTGCTAAACCGCACAGTAGAAAACGATCTAACCCAGAGATTCAAGAATGCCGAAGTAGAGAAACCTTGGCTTGGGACAGAACCAGCTATTGGAGGAAAGAAAAATGGTTCTCAGTTGAAGCTGTAACGCTGGAGTACAGAGTGTGTCTCACCTGCCCCCACCCCGGGGTGGGAGGACTGGGGGGAAACCTGTGTGCACTCATCATCCCTAAATCCTACAGCAGTGTTACGTACACATGAGGAATAGGAAGGTCAGAGAGGCAGCGGGACTGCCCAATACCACACAGCTACCAGAGCAGAGTCGGGCTTGGAGTCCAGACCCGCTGACTTCCCGCATCTCCCCAGTGTGGTCCCTTGACCAGCACCAGCACCCACGGTCTCCCGGAAGCAGCACTGGGCCCCACCCAGGGCCCACCTGAGTCAGAATCTGACTTTGACCAGACCCTAGCTGTCCCTCCAGAAGCACTGGGTTCGACTGCAGAGCCTGGGCCCTTTCCTGTTTTCTAGAATTCCTACAAAAACTGCTCCCCGGCAGACATGCTGTCACGAAGCAGGGCTGTAGGTCACATGCATTAGTAATGAGTCTGAAAACAACCGTGCTAGACAGGGCCCCCAGCTGGCCTTGCCTCAGCACGAACAGTGACATTTTCCCAGCACTCCTGGGGACAAGTCCATAAATGTAATTGGCACCAGGCAATAGAGTTGTCACCACCTTCACCTGCGCATTAGGGCAAGCTGCTTTTATGTCTAAACCACTCGGCCTGAAAGCTGCCTCTAAGTGGAGCCCAGAATTAATCTTGATCCACCATAACTCAGAGCATCATCAGATGTTCACTTCAGCGCTGAAGTGTGCCCTTATCACTGTGTTTTACGGCCTCACTTGAGCCTTTGCAAGTGCTTGTTTGTCGGTGATATTTCAGAAGCATCAAACCATCGAGATGTTCCGCTGGATAATTAACCCAGCCATTGGACTCAATTTTCTTTTTGACGCATTCTGACATTTTCAGAGAAATATACGGCCCAAGGAGGAGACGTGGTTGTTCAGCTGTAACCTGTGTAGAAAACATTTGTTTAAACCAACAAATACTGATGCCGTCACCCCCGGCACTTCCCACAGTTGTGCATGTGAGTCACTTGGGGACATGACAGCATGCAAATCTGACTCAGATCCTGAGAGGGGCCGGCTGCTACTTGAACACATGCTGGCTGATCCCCACCGTGCGGGTCCGGGGCCCGTGTGTAACTCGTAGTTAAAGCCGCCAGCTCACATTGGGCTGACCTGTGTTCAAATCCTCTCGCCTCTCTGCACTGTTTCTTCTCCTGGAAAACAGTAAGACTCCTTCTCTCACAGCATGTCTGTGAAGATTGTTCTGGATGATCCCTGTGAGGTGCTCTGAGCTGTGTCTGGCCCTGGGGATGTTTCCAGTAGCTTGCAGACATTGTCCTACTGGAGAGACTTTCAGTGTGGGAGCATTTTCTACACGCACGCCCTTGGCCTGTGTGATTCCTGATGTTTGCTGGTCTAGCTTCATCTCCTGCCGGAGAAATCATTGTGAGCAATCTCTCCCCATCTCTATAAATAAAATGGATCCTATTTGTTACCCTGTCCTGAAGGAATTGCTGGGAAAGAACAAATTTGAAAAGTCAAATTGAACAGGCCTGACTTCAATGTCAGGCTCTGTGTTGTACACGAAAGTCACTTTGGAGGACCCAGGAGGCACTCAGAGAAACAGGCAAGTCATTCTCCACTCCACTGACCCCGGCATCCAGCAGATGCCTGGTGCCTGCCTGTGGGGAGAGGCAGTGACCTCAGGGTCTGTTCTTCAGATCAGAGCTGGGTAACAGCGGGATGCGTCTGCTGCATGCTGTGAAGCCCTCGTGGGGAGCTGACTTAGACCAGGGGACCTGAGTGGGGACAGGCGTTGGCCCCCAGCAGCCATGATGTAAACAGTGATAGGTAACCGCCTGGCTGTTTCTGTGCCCAGTGACCCACCTGCATGTTGGCTGTCAGCTGCAGCAGCCGCATGAACCCCCACTGGTGCCGGGGAAGACACAGCTGTGGGCCTGGGAGCTGATCCTCCCAGTGGGGTGATGCTGCTGTGTCTCCTCTCTGCGGTTGTGAAGTCCATGTGATGTGAGAGCGGAAGCTGTTTCATCCGGGTGCCCAGCTCCACTCCTGAGCAGAGGCTGGCGCTGCAGACATTGGAAGCGGGCAGTGGCTGCCACCTGGGATCCCAGCTCCAGCTGGGGAGCCTTCCTGGGTGGCTCAGTACAATAGCACAACGCAGATGCCAGTCCCCTTTGCTTCTCAGCATTGGCCGGTGATGCTGTCCAGCCACACTGGGTAGCCAGCTGGTAGTTTTTAAATCTCTCTGCAAAGAGATGGATACATCAACCTGATGGCTTTGTGGATTTCAAAAGCCACAAAGGGCGGTGGTGTTACGAGGGCCAACAACACAGGAAGGAAAAGAATTTATCAAGACCACAGCAAGGAAAGAGCAGATTTATCAAATGCACTGCAAGAAATAGCAGGCAAGTCCCCAGAGAGGATCAATCTGCTAGGGAAGAGTCTTTATAAGGGTTTCTTGGTTTTGAAAACATTACAGATTTGCGGGCAGGCCTGGGGAGAGAACGTTAGGAGGATGAGGTGGGGACTTGTGTGTCACCCTTATGGTAGGACACAGCATGGGGCAGGGGTAATGTAACACACGCATTACCAGAAAGAATGTTAATGGCTGTTTTGCTATAAGCTACTGAAGCTGCTTATTTTGAAGCAGAGTATGTAACCCTCCTGTAAAGCCAAATGGAGGTCAAGACAGCCTCTCCCTGGCCGCTTTGTATTCCACAGTTAGGGGGCAGGGTCAGCACCTCAGACTGAAAAGAAGCCCATGGGTTTGGGTAATGATTGAGGGCCCCTGACTCTTGTCAGACCAGACTGGCGTTCAGGAAGTGAGGGTTCTGCACTGCCAGGAAGTGATTGAACGGGAGGCATATGAGAAGTGAGGGAAGAGACGATAACCACGCATAGTGATTAAAGGCGGTGGAAATAGACAAAGCCAAATGAAATGCGGTGTACAAACTTATTAATAGGGAAATCGATCTCTTCATAGCTGCCTGGGCCAAGTGGGTCTTGAATTGGATTCCCACAGGAAGGACTTAGAGATTTTTTTTTTTCTTTTTTTTTTTGATACTGGGGATCGAACTTGAGCCCTTGCGGTTCTGAGGCAGGGAGTGGATCCACTGAGCCAAATCCCCGGCCCAGGAGTTAGTGATTTTTCAACAGCAGAGTTGTAATGATTAAAATGCAACTTCATTCTGAAATCACGATAGGTGGTAAAGTCTTAATTAACTAGGACACAGTTAATGAATCCTGCATCCCCATCACTAAGGCTCGAGCCACTCAAGGTGAGCAAGGCTAAGGCCTTAGGTCACTGTCACTGCCCCATGTATCTAACACCCGAGCCAGAAGACCCACATGAAGAGAGACGGCAGAGCCCCAGGGGCAGCAGCCGTGTTCCTGTCGTGATATCGCCGCAGTCAGGCAGCACAGCAGAGAATTGTGGATTGATTTTCAACCCAGGAAATGAAAGCTACTTCCATGTCTTCCTCAGTTTACCGGTGAGTTTGAAGGAAAGCCTGGCTCCAACATGGCTGGAGCAGGAGACCTTGGAGGGGGTGGTGGTAGCAGTGATGTCAGCCGTTCTGCACAGTTTACACACACTCGCTGTGAGTCACCCACACCGCACGAGCCTGGGAGTACTGACCCCATTTTGCAGATAAGGAAACTAAGGCACAAGGGCTCGCTCAGTAGTGGTGAACCTGTGGCGGCTCGGTGCTACAGCAGGCTGTTCGTATCGTTGAAAGCAGAGTCTAACAGGTTCACCATCACTAATAGCTAATTCTTCCAAGGTCACGTACATGACAAGGGATTAGGGGTAGCACTGGGATTGCACACAGAAAGTCTAGCTCCAGAGTCTGAAGATCTTCCTGTCAGGCTATCTGCCAGTCTGTGAAATTTGCCCTCAGTGACATAACTCATGCACAGCACCTCTAAGGCACATGGACACTTACACACCACACTTTTATTTTTGGAGACAGGGTCCCACTGTGTAGCCCAGGCTGGCCTCAAACTCACATTGATCCTCCAGCCTCAACTCCCTAATGCTGGGATTAATTACATCCCTGCATCACCACACCTGGCAACATACCACACTCTTAACCTTGATTAATCCTAGGGCATTGGACTAGAAAAGGAGAATCAATGGCTTTGTCCTTTATGCCATATGCATATATTTTGTTTTTACAGTGTTTTTTTATTTAAAATAAAAAGAAACTTTAATACATCCATATACTCCAAAAGCTACCATGGGGCCAGGGATTTAGCTCAGTGGTGCCGCCGCCTGCCTCACAAGCCCAAGAACCCATGTTCGATCCATGGTAACAACATCAACAACCAAAAAAAGCTACCGTGTACCAAGAGACAACTGAAGCCAACTGAGTCCAACCTACCAGACATTAAAATGTGTCTCTATAGCTAATTTATAACGATAAAATCAATTTTGGCCCAAAGATTTCAGAAGGACCTAGAGAAATAGGAGGGAAAGCCAGTCCTCAGGTGGGTCAGGGCCGCCAGACCCTGCTTTTGGCTCCCCTCCACTTGAGGCCCAGAAAACTAGTACAGCGGTGGCAAACGTCGCGGCATGCGTGCTGCGGCAGGATGTTTGTCACCAAACGCTCTAGAAGGTTCGCCATCACTGGCCTCGAACAAGACAGCAGGCAGCAGGCTCATCTGAACATCGCGTTATCCGGTTCCCTTACCAGGAGTTTGGTGTGTCCAGGCCCAGGAGAGTATGGCCACAGGCTCTGCTAAAGGCTGAAGTTCCCCCCATGGATCTTATCCGCATTTCTAGTCCATTCCTTTTTCACAGACCTGGCAGTAAACCAAAAGAGGACGTAAATCCAGCCACTATGAAGAGAGTGGAAGAGGGAGATGTGGACCTGTTGATCCTTCTCCCATTAAGTAGATTGTAATATAAGCCCATCCTCTATGGGGCACTGAGGAAATCAGTCACCTATACTCTCAGTATAAATACCCCAAAACTTAAGAGGCTTAAGACAGCAAGCATTTATTATCTCACAGGTTTTTAGTCCTGGAATATGGACTTCAACTAATGGAGACGTCTTCCCAAAGGGTTTTCTGTAGGCCACAGGGATACCAGCTAGAGCTGCAGTCCCATCCCAAGGCTCAGCTGGGGTGACCCACTCCAGGATTCCTTCGTGTGGTTCCTGACAGGACTCAGCTCCTCACCAGCTATGGACCAGGGACTTCTTTCACCTTCCAAGCACGTGGGCTTCTGCAGTGGGTCTGTGAGAAGCAGTGAGACGACAGCAGGATTATGAGAACAAGCACAGAAGGAGACCCAGAGAGGGGCGACTGGACAGGAGCCAGTCTTTTTATAACTTCATCTCAGAAGCAACACGCCATCACATTTGTCCTGTCCAGTCCTTTAGATGCAAGTCAGTGAGCCAGCCTGCACTCAAGAAGGAGGAACTACCCAAAAGTCACTCACTGGAGACCGACTCTGCCTGCCCACCAGAGAGGCAAAGGACACACCCTTACCCTGAGGTGCCAATCTGGGCGGGCGGGTGAGCCTGCCAACACCACCATGCGGAGGCGCTGTTCTAATGCAGCTCAAGGCCGTCAGCCCCAGTGCCCATCCAGGTGCTCTTCCAACCAAAAGCCCTTCATCCCCTTGCACCCCCGACCCAGCCAGGTGTGAACCCGGGTCCATTTCTGAGACATTTGGGGGACACAGGAAAAGGAACTGGGGATGATGCTCAGCTTTCTGGCATAGATGGCTATCACTGAAGAGGCACCACCACCGTGCCCGGCTGAACTCCCTTAACCTCATCTTTACCTGAACACAGCGTTTCCCAAAGCATGGCAGGCTGTGACCCCAGAGATGCCAGGGCGATTTCAAGTGAAGCACTTTTAAAGTGTATCCATCTTGATGTTTTCATAGCAAGATGCTATTCCCAGAATTGAACCTCTGCTCTACCCCAGCTGCCTAAATTCTTCCTTTGTATCTTAAGGATCTTTATTACCTGCCCTCCATGCCCACCAGCAGACCACAGGGGCCGACTGCAGAACCATCATTGAGGCTGCCAAGATAAAGTTCCAATGCAGCCACAGGCAGAATGGTGGGGGATTCTGAGGTGAGGCTGGGAAATGGTGGGAGGAGGTTGAACAGACTCCAGAGACCCCAGCAGGAGAGCAGCTGGCAGCCGCTGTCCCTTCACCTTCGTGTGCTGCTCTGAGTAATGCTCCTCTGTGTCCCGAGGCAGCACCCGCTGGCCTGGTCCAAGCTCTGTGGCTCTCACACCCCCTAGTAACCCAAAGGGAGCCCTTCCCACAGCAGGAAAAGAAGAAGGCTCCCCTGTGAAGAGAATCAGGCCGTAACAAGACCCACAAAGCCCAAGTCACCCTCAGCTGGTCCCACAGCAGAGCACATCACCTCACCCTGTTCTGTGTATTCCAGGTGGGGAATACGGCATCTAGGAGTTGCAAACCAGAAACAGGAAGGTTATCATTGCTCGGCTGAGGTTGAATTAATAACTTTTTGGGGCAGTACTTGGGGTTGAACTCAGGGATCCCCCGCACCGAGCTGCATCCCCAGCTCTTTTGATGTTTTATTTTGAGACAGAGTCTTCCTAAATTGCAGCCTGGCCTCAAACTTGTGATCCTCCCACATAGCTGGAATTGCAAGCCGATGCCACTGTGCCTGGCCAAGTTAATAATTTTTATAGAGAGTATTCGGGCACAATATCGAGTAAATATGGTGTGCAGGGGAAGCAGAGAACCGCAAGCGTCTCAAAGGCAGTGACATCGGGCTGAGGATAGCTTGGCCGGCTCTCAGCCTATCTCCTGCCCCTCCTTAACTAACACAGGAGGGCGTATTCCCTTTCTTCTACTCTGGAACTTGAGACAATTTCAGTCATTCCTGAGAAACATGAGAAATGGTGCTTCTCGCCTTCTCAGAACCGCAGCAGGCTGAGTGGTGGCCACCCCTGAAAGATGTTCTTGTCCGTATTAGTCATCTTTGCCTTTTTTGTTTTTGTTGTTTTTTTGAGACAGGATCTCACTGTGTAGTTGAGGCTCACCTGGAACTCACTGTGTCGCCCAGGCTGGTCTTGAACTCACAGCGATCCTCCTGCCTCAGCCTCCCGAGTGCTGGGATTACAAGCGTGTGCCACCACGGCCGACCATCTTTGCCTTTGCTGGGACAAAATGCCCGACACCCACAACTTAAATTAGGAGGCTTTATTTTGGCTCATAGTTTCAGGGCGTTCAATCCCTGGGTTGATTGGCTCCAGGGCAGGAACCATCGTGGGAAGGACACGGTGGTGCAGAGCTGCCCTGGTAGCCAGGAGGCAGATGTCAGACTTCCAGCTCTGTTGTTTTAAGCCCTCCAGTTTGTGGGAATTTGTTACAGCAGCAGCAGAAAGTCAGGCGACGGAACCACTGAGCTAAATGCCCAGCCCTCAGCAGCAGCAGGAAACTCCCAGAATGCAGAGGTCATCATCTCAGGAGTATGCACTGAATTGTGGAGAAATACTTGCAAACACTGTGAAGCTGAAGAAGCCAGGCAGTTTTCGGGTCGGCCTCAGAGAGCTGGGTTCTAGCCCAGCAGGCCCACAGCTTGCTCATTGGCTGCAGAAACCCCAGGGAAACGCGGCATGGCCCGGATCCTCACATGTACTCTGGGCCCTGGTCAGAAAGATATCAGATGTGTGAGACCTTCAAAAACATGTACTCTTCAGCACGCAAATGTGGCAGAAGATCTTCATGCTGTGGCTGTGTCCTCACCTTTCTGAGTGGGAGCTTGGCCTCTCAGGCTGGATCCATCACTAGTGAATGTCGAGGCTGTGCTGTAGCATCATGAGGGGACACTGTGTCACCCCGAACCCCTCCCGCCCTCTCCTATCCTCCATAATGATTCTCCCCCTGCTCCCGCCGTACACTGCCTTGATGCACCCCACTTCTAAAACCACCAGCCGGTCCCTTGCCTTTGTCCCTTCCACAAAAACCTTCCCGGTGTCCACAGCCTGTCAGCTCTGTGTGCTATGGCCTTTTAAAACCTGGTGTGCTGATTGTGGGTCCCCTTCACCAGGACTGGCACTGTGTCCACTGCCCAGCCTGACACTACAGCCATTCTGCAGATATCAATCAAGCACTTTGCATGTGCTGGAGATTTACTAGGTGCTGGGAGGCCTCATGGAAGGAGGAAGACATCCCAGATCCCTGCTTCAGGGACCCTGCGTCCTGGAGAAAACAGCTGTCAAGTACAGGTGGTCCATGACTTCCAACCTCCCACTGTTACCACGGGGTGGAGGCTGCACTTTGAATTTTAATCTTTTCCTGGGTTAGCAACGTGCAGTACAGGTACCATGTTGCTAGGCTGTGATGTTCAGTAAATTGGGTATGTTGAATTTCTTTTTGTCTTATATTTTCAGCCTGCAGTGGATTTATTGAGATATGAAGTTGAGGATCATCTATACGTACTGTGATTCAGGTAGCATAAACAACAGTGACTCCAAAACTAGAAGGAAGACCGAAAAAAATGACTTCGTACTAAAGCATTTCAGAGTCACGCACATTATCTATCAATTAGGCATTTTACAGCTCCATAAAACCGAAGCTTTAAGATGACCTCAGCAGGTACAGTGTCTTGCCCTGTAAAACATGCACTGAATTTATGTCTCATATGACAGTTGTGTCTCATCGTGTCCCTCATTTCCTATTAGAAATCCCGGTTTTCTGTGTTCTTTTGTGAACCAGCCTTGTCTTCACACCTAATCCCTCATTTGTAAAGTAAATAAGACTTTGACATTTGCTCACTATCTGGAATCAATTTTAAAGGACTCACATTTTAATGGTTTGAGAACTATAACCTTAGCGGTGTTGATGCATGCTAAGGAGAAACTTTGAGCCGTGTAGGGGCTACTGCTGTAGTGGAGGGTCAGGAAGGCCGAGGGGCAGCTGTGCTGAGGGACAGAGGCCTGGATGCAGCTCGGAGCTCTCAGGGTCCTTGCTCTCGCCAGCCAGTGGTGAGCGCAGGCACAAAGCTGATTCCTGACTT